TATTAAATTTATTCACGATATTTTTAAATTTAAGTACACATTTTTTCTCTCCTTCTTCTCCCTTGTGTTCTCGAGTGGTCACTGTTGCGCCGAAATCTCACTAGTATATGATATCGCAAATAAGTAATAAAAAGTGGATATGATATCGTGCCATGATGATTGCATATTTGATTAGTTTCCAATTAATACTATTTTTAAACAAAATAGTAAAATTATTTGGAGATTAGTGATGAAAAGTAAATGCCATGACTAAATAACTACTTTCGCGTAGAATTTTCCTTTTGCGTATAAAAATGTTAAATCCTATAACTTCAAGTGAAGTTTCATGTTGATCATCCTATTTAATTTTGTTTTAATTTGATCGCTAATATTTTTATTTGAGTTACCATCATACTCATCTTTGTTAAGTGTAATTAATAGAAGTACTTGCTTAGTTATTTGTGAATCCGCGACTTCTTTTCTTTGTAACAAAAATCTAACGTTAGCATCATCATACAAGACACGACATTTGAACTAATAAAAAGGCTAAATATATTCGCATCATATTTTTTATAAATGCGTCATGTTTTAATTACATGATAAATCTAAAAATTTTACTCATCATTACATTTACGTCCTCAAATTTTTTATCATATTCTTATTCTCAAATTTACACAAGTTGTCTTGATGATCGTTTCTGTTCAAGAATTTCACTAAAATAGAGGAAAAATATTTATTTGTCCCTTCATATTTTTAAATAAAAAAAAATAAAATTCAAGACTTAATATTTGTCATTCATATTAAAGAACGGTAATAGTATTTTTGAACAAAAAAATAGTTAAAGATAAGATTTGCTAGTTAATTAAACTTAGAGATACAAATATGATAGTAAAATTTAAGAGTATAAATATGATAATTGAAAGTTACGCATTTCGGCCCTAACAATACCTAGAGGGGAGTGAATAGGTATTATATGCGGAATTAAAAATATTTTATGAATTAAACAGCAACAAGTCACTTTTTAATTTTCATCTAAATGATTAAACAAGCAAGTCATTTTAGCTCTAAATTTGAATACCGCAGTTTTTGTGATCAATCAATAAACAATAACGAAAGCAATAAATCAACACCAGAATGATCACGGAGAAACCCAACTGTAAAAAACTACGGGCACTTTGCCAATTGAGCTCTTCATATATAATTTTATTAAATTTATTCACGATATTTTTAAATTTAAGTACACATTTTATCTCTCCTTCTCCCTCATGTTCTTGAGTGGTCACTGTTGCGCCAAAATCTCACTAGTATATGATATCGAAAATAAGTAAGAAAAAGTGGATTAGATATCGTTCCATGATGATTACATATTTGATTAGTTTCCAATTAATACTATTTTTAAACAAAATAGTAAAATTATATGGAGATTGGTGATGGAAAGTAAATGCCATAACTAAATAACTATAATATAATCAACTAATTTTTGAAGCTTTTACGAAACTCGGTTAATTAAAACCACTAGGACTTTGAATAATTTTGCATTTTTTAATTTTAATATCACATATAACTGTAC